CCACCCCCCCACCACACACACACACATATCTCCACGTTTGCTATTTCTTAGTTTGTAAACGTTTGATTCTATGTCTTCTGGTTGATAACGGCAAGGTTGATGACTTGGTAAAAGAGTTTTGATTCATTTTGAAAAGATATAAGGATGATGGAAGATAACCTAGAATGAGTGAATGACAATATTTATCGTGCCTTTTGTGATTGTATGTTAATTTGGGATGATATAAGTTGAATAACAGAATGTTTATCACGCATCAGGCAGGATATCTTATGTTCAGTGTTTCAGAAGTATTATTGAGTTCTATTGATGAATATTATATGATCAAGATGTTGCAAAAGTCAAGTCATCGAGAAAGCTTTTACAATGTAAATTTGATGGATGACTTGAATATAGAGCATGCATTTTTTGGAAGTATTAATCATCTATAACATATTTTGCAGAATAGTAAATTCTGAATGTTGACTTTTTAAAATGACGCATGGGACTCTTTTCTTTCTATATTTATTAGAAAAGGCTGGAAGTGCAGCAAAAAGTTGTGCTTCCTTTCTTCCGAATATTCTGTATTTCTTACTTAGTTACTCTAGATGCCCCTAAATTGAATGTTTTGATTTTCTTTCCTCTTTGCGATGTCTCAAAATTATCTTCACTTCTGTAAATGCAACTTTTTCATATTTTATTATTTTCCAAGCTATTTAATAAAATAATACCATTTCGTGATTCTTCAACTCTCTCCTATACAATCGTGACAAGTCAAATCATTTCATTCAATTTAAGATGAATGGAGGATTACACGAGAAGTTAAGTCTTCTCATACTAGTATTACAGCATTAATATACATATGGTCTTCTAATTTTGTTATTTATGTTTATATCTTTTGGACCACATAATTTAGATCCAATTATGCTAGTGGAAGGATATTTTGTTGTATTAAGATTTTAGCATCATTTTTTTTTTTGAAGAAAACTGACCTATTGATTCGGTTTTTGTATTCAGAACCCGCCAAATTACAGATCTCACTTTTCTAACTTCCTTTTATGCTGTTGATTTTTTTCGCTTTCGGTCTTCTTTGCTGCAAAGAATTAACTACTTTTTAGTCTTAAATTAATTTCTTTTTTCTTTTGTAACTCATTAGTTCAACAAAGAAGGCTACATCAAGCATACAAGTGAAGATGAAAACGAGCAAGCCATGGAGTCTGAATCAACAGGTATCCTACCATGTAATTTTTTTGATACGTGACAGATTTTTAATTCCTCGTCTGCATTAAGTTTTGGGAAATTTTCACTTACTTTATTGTTCCAGGTGCTTCTGCACACCATAAAATCGATGATTCTGCTAATGATAAAATAGACGGAGTTGATGCAGCAGCTGAAGAATCGGAGAGCTTATCTGACATTGATGATTTAGAGGTTTGTAAGTTTTCCATGTTTGCTTTGAATGGAATATCATTGCATGCCAGGTGTTGTCACTTGACTATTTCTCCTTTCTCTGTTCTTGATAGTATCAGCTTGAAGGGAATAAAAGTAAATGCTGGTGAATTCTAATGCTTATATTTCATCAAATAAATGTCTTAGATTTCGTTAATATACAGTTACCTTTCTGGTCCATCCCATAAATCCACTTAAGTTTGGCAATTGTTCCAGTGTATGTCCATGTAGCAATTCATATTATGAAGGCTATTATTAGATTATGCCTAATATTTTTGATCCTATATTATTTAATTTATGTTCAGAATCTTGAAGGCATGATATGTTTTCCTCACTGTAATTGCATCTCCAATCCTAAGTTTGAAAATGTGTGATCTGAATTTTCTTCATTGCCGATATGGCAATATGTTTCTATATGCTATTTTCAACTTATTTATATTCCAAGCCTATCTTAGTTAAACGACTTACTTTTTTATTCATTGACTTTGTTATGACTGTTAAACTGAGACAACAATGTTGTCAGGTTGATGGCTACCTTCACAATGAGGAGGAGAAGCACTACAAGAAGATTATTTGGGAGGAAATGAACAAAGAATATCTTGAGGTATTCTGATTTTTTCTATTCGATTCACTTTATATGCAACATGCTACATTCAGTTATGATGTCATTGTTTTTATAGTTGAGATTATGATTTCTGCTTTAATATTTCTCAGGAACAGGCTTTAAAAGAGGCAGCGGCATTAGCTGCAAAGAAAGCTTATGAGGCCAATTTCCAGAACTGCCCAGAGGATGCACAGAAGCTTGCAGCTGCTGCTGCGGCAGCTGTGGCGAAGTCAAAAAAGGTGGTATCCTGACCAAAACATTTGTTGATTCTTCAATTATTTCATCCAGTAACATATTCCCTTTTGATGATTATTTTGGAAAATTTGTGTAAGTTTTTAACTGTTGTAAGTATTTTCTTAGCCCACGTTTGGCCTCCATTTTGTGGAAATGAAAATGGGTCGAATAGTGTTTTTAAAAAAAAATGAGTGGTTGAAAAAGAAGGGAAAGTTTTCGATTTACGTGTAATATTATTTTATGGAAGATTGTGTGGTGAAAATAAGAGGGAGAAAAATGAAATGTAATGAAATGAAAATTAATGGATGCCAAACGGGTCCTTAGAATTTGATTGATTCTATACGCTTTGGCCTTGGAGCTACGAAGTAATGTGTTTAGAAAAATGGTATGCCCCTGGGGGGACCCAAGGGGGAGTGGGTTAATTACTAAAGATCTGGTGCTTGCAACTTGCCCCTTTGACCATTAAACCTTTTATCTCGACAAGACCTTTTGGGAGTTATTCAAACTATATATTTCCTTTTCTGCATTTATAATCTTGCTTGTTAAATCTCTAACTGTTGTCAGCTATTCAGTTGGGAAGCTAAAATATGGAAGTCGAAATTATATCTGTATCTAATTCTAATAGACTTCTTAAAGAAAGTAGCTCTTATTTGTAGCTCTTCAGGATATTTTTTATAGTGTATTGCTCAAATTTGTCAGTGAACTTTTGACGGTTTGGAAAAACATAATTTTCTAAAGAATTTGGTTCACCATCTCTCGTGTTCTAAAGATCAGTGGTATTTAATATTTGATAATAGCTTAAATAAATGTATGCTATATGGATATGTAAAACTAACCTAGCTCAGTGTTCACCTTCTCTCTCTGATTCCTGCCTGTTAACCTCTTCTGATAATTGTTTAAAGAGTCGTGCAAATAATTTCACTAATAGTGGGTTTCTCTAGAACCTCTGAGCTTGTATTCTTATAAGTTGTTGGACGGACTATGGTCTACAGGAAAGGCAACAGAAGCGAGCTGCGGAATTAAAAAATTCAGTTCCTGCTCAAACTGCTGCAGAAGCCACTAGACAAATGCTAACTAAAAAGGTAACAACTGCAGCGGAAAACAGTTCATGCAGTAAATGGTTTAGGCATTATGTGTGTGTGTGTGTATGTGTGTGTGTGAAGGAAAAGAAAAAGGAAAAGCTATATATTGAACCACGTGATGTTCCCCACTGTTCGAGATTCATCTTTCTGATGGTATAATATACTCAGACAAATTATTTGTGCCATCTGTTTTTATCAATTCTTTTGGACCTTTTGTTGATAAATAGTTTAAAATGATTTTGATGCAGAGGCTGAGTTCTAAAATCAACTATGACGTACTGGACAAACTTTTTGATGAATCTGTAAGTAGTTCTTTTCTTTCTTTTTTGGCCGATTCTGGTGCTATCTTTATTCATTTCATGTCACAATAACTGATAGAGTTGAGTTGGTTATAGTTCTTGATAGGAGTGGGTCTAAGAACAGGAAATGCATGCCCGACATTTAACTGCTTTTTCCTGTTGCTTTTGTGCTTGGGCTTATTTTGTACTTTTTGTTTATAAACTTCTTGGAGCACCATGAAAGCGCAAATAACTTGTGGATGTTCTTGTTTCGTGTATTTGCTTCCAAATTTAGGCAGTTTGGCTAGAAATTGGAAATATGTGCTCAAAGAAAATATGGTGGTTTTAACTCCTGATGTGTTCATAGATGCTTCGTTTGGGTCAATAACACCTATATTTACTTTAACTCCGTACATAATGAGATTACATAACCATGTTATACCAATGCGCTTGAGACTCAAGTTTATAGAAGGTTGATGTCAGCTTTGCACTACAATTTACATGAAAAAGGGGCTTATATTAGTGATCTGATACGACCCATTAGCTCTCTAAAAGTTCGGAAGTTCGGAACTCAGTCAAAATTATGTTGAGTTCTTGGATTAGAAAGACTGATAATGGACAAAGAAAAGTAAAAGGAAAAAGGGAAATCGATATTTGAAAAAAAAAAAAAAAAAATTCCTCAAAGGGCACGGAAAATTTTGAACTGTTAACAAAAATCCACTGACGTTTAAAGTATGTGTTAATTCTCTCTCAGAACTATCGATGGAGTCTATTAAATTTCAAGATTAAGTAGCCTATTTCTAGGAGCTGTCTAGGTAGATTTTCTACTTTGTAATTTATATACATCCAGTTCTTTCTTTTCACTCCTAAGAACCTTATTCGCGTAATCTCTCGAGATTCCTTAAGTTATTGTTATGTTAATTGATGGGGACAAAAAAAGATTATCTTTATATCTGTCGATGAGTTTTGTTTCCTCCTGTTTGTTTCAACAGGTAATTTCAGAGGATGCCAAGAAAAGTCGAACTGATCTAGACTCTTGTAACGATGACAAACCCGTACAACATAGAGAAAGAGATCTTGAACAAGAGGACAACTACAATGAGAAGGAAGTATATAATTACTACGACGATTATGTTTATAACGTCTTATGAATAATTTATATATATTGTATACATTTTTTATATTCTTATATTTTAACACTATTCAATTTTTTGTTTTTGTCCATTGAGGTATATGTAAAGACGAGGAGACTGCAGCTTAAGTTAAAGGAATGTATTTGTTTCTTTAGTGTCATTATCATCTGGCTTTGATAGTTTGTTTTAGACATCACAATTGGAGTTGTGAAATGAGGCTTGCTGGGCTGGTCTGGCCATTATTGTTAATGGACTGGGCTTCAACCAGTTACAGCCCAAGAACTCAATCATGGGCCGGGCTGAACCAGCACTTTGAACCCCCACCCTGAAATGCTACTTTTTCAGGACATTAGTTTTGTCTTTTAGCAAGACTATTATATGTCATGTTTGTTACGTAGAATTGATAATATATGAAACAAAAGTTTTAGTTTCTCTTAACCCTTGTTTGTTACAGATTAAAATCTAAATTTTAATCTAAATGAAAGTTAATAATTTATTTCAACCACAATTTATGGGTTTCACAATTTTTAACAATATATTTCATTAACTTTTATCAAAATCTACTAAAAGTATAATTTTAATTTCTTTCTGCCTAAACATATATGCCACAATATGACACATACCTTATATCTTTATGAACTATAGAAATGGAATCCTACTCTAAAAAATCGGTTGTATGAGTTACTATTAGGTAAAAAATCTTCTGCTTTGTCGATTAAAAAGTCAAATTTTCATGAAAAAGGAACATTATACCTCGATTGTGAAGGGAAAAAAAATAAAAAAATCCAATTTCTTGAACTTAGATGAAGTAATCAGTCAAGTCTATAATTTTATTTTAATAAAATATAATATTTTGTTGATTGTTTATTGGAACTCCCAATAATATGATCAGAATTGAAAAAAAAAATAATAATAATAAAATTTGTTGATTGTTTATTGGAACTCCTAATAATATTTTGTTTTGTTGATTGTTTATTGGAACTCCTAATAATTTTTATTTTTATTTTTATTTTATTTTTATCAGAATTGACTTTCTAAATTTGGTGACATCTCGTGACCTGCCTGCAACCCGTGTCTTGTTCTGCTCCCTGTCAAAATGTCTTTTTCGTGTTCATATATTCACATTAAAATACTTTAATAGTTGATAATCATCCGTGTGACCAAAAATAGTTTCATATAATCAGCTTTAAATTTATTGAAAAATAATTGTTATTTCATTGTCTTATGCTCTATTTAATAACCACGGCTGAGTTTGTTTCACCAACCTCAGCCACTGGATAGGGAAAATATGGTGGTTCTGAAGACTTCCGACCGGCAGCTGCTGGCAGCGCTGCTCCTCTTACTCTTTGTGGTCTTCTCAGCTGCAGTTCGAACATCAAGTAAGGCCTAACAAAACTGTATATAGTCACTTAGGAACAAATCTTACTGTATGCTATGTTCTTTTATTTTGGTGGTCCAATTTTACATTCTTTTGGTTTCTTCGCGTTTTTCTTGGTCGATAAAATTCTGTAAGCGTCAAACCCACAATATCGAGATCGTTTTAAGTAAAGAAAAAAGGGAAAAGCACTTTGAATAATGATCTTTGTGATTAACAGGGCGCCTCAAAGAAGTAAAAGATGAGTTATCAGTTCATAATTTTCATAATCAGGTACTCTCAGACTATTCAAACATTCTTGAACTGATTTAGTAGTCTAATTTTTATTTTTTATTTTTGGTACAATTTTCTTGATGATACGGAGTTCTATTTTGTGACAGTACTATGTTTTCTTGAATCTTAATTATAGGAGCCAAGAATGGACATGGAAATTTCAGACTATTCAGGAACTGGAGCAAACCATGACCATGATCCACCTACTCCTAGTCCTGGAATAGTTTGATCAATTTATAATGTTTATAAACATGTGGAAATAATTATATTCAAATATGTAATATTTAGAATCTATGTGTAAGTTTGGAAAAAAAAAAAAAATTTAAGTTTCATGTGAAACTTACACTTATGTCTGTTTCACCAACGTCTGAAGTACGATTTTGATCACCTAATATATTCGGTTTAGTTTGTCCATTTTGTCTATGATCTTGACAAAAATTAATGGCTAGTCCCAAGGGCGGGTATAGGGGAGGGCACGCCTGGGCTAGATGCGAAGTGAAGTGTAAAAAGAAAAAAATTATGCTTAAGTCGAGTGATCGTTTGATTTCCCGCAAGCGCATGACATAGCGAACAAGTAATAAAGTGATGAATAAAGTACCATTTCCATGAGAACTGCGTACTTACTCTAGTATCAATTAATATTAATTTTTATCGACTAGAAAATTTTGTTGAAAAATTTATGCTAAATTAATTGATTAAACTAACTATTCTATTAAACGATTTATACCTTAAATCCTCATTAATTCGTTTCAATGGAAATCAATAACATGACAATATGTACACATTTTTGTTGATCAATGTTCTTAAATTAGTTAAAAGCATATCTTGATGTCAATTAAATATATCCTCTTATGTGACTTTCCTATATTTCTATAAAAGATGAAAACATGAAAGCACGCGTTAATCAATTCAATTGGTGATCAAGTAATTGAAAAGACATTAAATCCTATAACAATCATTCAAGAATAAATACATATTGGACATCAAATTATTGAATTTAAATTAAAAACTTCATAATAAGGGTTCATGAATGTCTTAGTAATTGAAAAATTAGTCTAATATTACAAAATTACAAGAAGTCATAATTAATTTGTAAAACATCACCCGAATTTTGATTAATTGAAGAAGAAGAGGATGAATCTTAAAATCTTGAATCTCTTCAATGATTTTTTGAAGAATTTCAGTTATGCCTTCTCTTTGTTGCCTCTTGATTTGCCCAAAAGCGTGTTCTATTTAATGAACTCGATCATTTTAACCACTACATCCCACCATTTTAGAGTGGAACTTGATCAATGGTCCAAATTTCACAATATCTAAAGATCATGATCTTTCTAATGCACCAATTACACTTGAATCATTGCATCTATCGGAAAATTTTTCGACTTCACACTCATTTTAATTGTTATATACTCACAAACTCCAACAATTCTTTTGACTACTTCACTTCCGATATCAAGGAAGTGTAAAGGGTAACTCCCCCCCACCCCCCAATTTATGGAATCTCCTTATTTTTATTAATTTTCTAATTTCATACAAACACCTATGTAATATTTTATTCTTTTCTTGTTTATTTCAAGTGAACAAAAAGGAAGTAGAACCAAAAAACTCTCAGGTTCTCTCTCCTTTTAGCGGACAAATTGATGGAACAAATACAGATTAATCCTATTTTTACTTGAATTTTAATTCTTTTGCTTTGTGAATTAGGGCATGAAGAGAGTTGATGTACCAGAATGCCCAAGGAAATAAGAAAGGAAGCCCGGATACGGAGATCATTCATGACTAGGCTGACCCTAAGCCCAATTCAGTCCTTACTCCAGAAGCAGAATAAATATTAAAAATTTATCTATTAATAGAAATAAAATAAATACGGATAACAGCTTGTGCTCTCGAGCTTTCTACTGCCTACACTATCACTCAGAGAAACACATTTCATCAACTTTTCTCAAAATTTGTCGAAACTTTTATCAAATTTTTGTTGAACGAACACAATAAAATTGCTGTCGTCCGTGCTGACAATTTATCCAGAAGTACTGTATCTTTTCAGTAAATATATATATTTTTTTGATCAAAACATCATCATTTATTTTTTATCATCAGTTCTACAATCAAATACGGTCCAATAAAGGAATTCTGCAGATTGATCAGCAGCTTGCATTGGATAGATCCAGTGCACCAATTGTATTAAAGTTTTACATCCAATCCAAATGCATTTTCGGCAGAATTATGCAAATGCAATGAGGCCAATATTCGAGTTCTTGTGGGAAAAAGATGGGGAAATTAGGAAAAATTGTAGGGTTTTTAATATAAATTCAATACTTTGTATACAATATTAAAAAAATAGCTGTGTTATTTATCAATTTTATGTGTCATTTTATTTATTTATTGAATAAACAAATAATTTGTATAAGTTTTGATAAATATGCAACAATATTTTTGTATCCCACATATTTATACGAGTTATAAAATTGATATGAAACAACATTTCCTACATTGTGCATATTCTGTAAATTCCAAATTTATAACTTGCTGATTGCGTCGTCTGCATGTGCTAAATTGAAACAAGAAGCTTAATATTGGGGGAAAAAACCAAAATCTTCTGTTTTCCCGTGCACAGAACTGACACAACCCACCTGATGATGGCCAAAAGATCCTCCAACTCAGCTGCAGAGGTTCAAACTTCAAACTATGTGGGCCAGCTTAGGACACAATTGTTCTTTTTTATATTGAACTCATCTGTCCTTTGAGAACTATATACTAATGGACCTCAACATGGCCTAATGATTTTTTTTTT